TGATGATTACTACCACAATTTAACAGTTGAAGATAAATGGCTTTCTCAGATAATTTTTGCGCATTGGGATGCTTCAATAAATTTTTGGATCTTGTCATATCACTGTTTGGACTTTTGAAATGTTTGCATCTACCTGTAGGGTTCTGGAATATGTTGTTACCAGCAGCTGTGTTTTGACAAACCTGCTTCAATGAGTGGTAAGATAAAAATGAGATTGTGAGCTAGGAGGTTTATTCATCTGTGCATAAAGCATTACCTTAATTGAAAGGTAAGCTTATCTGACATCTGTTGCTCTGTGATAAGATTATGGATACTATCAGCTTAGCTCTTCTTTACTGGGCTGCCAGAATATGTTATCTCGAATACAGTAGTGATTTTACTTTATTGGGACTTTGTCAGTCGCTAGACATGCAGGAATAGCCCTAGTATTTTTCTTAACAGAGAAGATTCTAGCCTGACTTGTTGCTCTGTAAAGCTGCTGCTTCACAATGTGGAGTGTGGTGTCAAGAAAAGCCATGAAAACAGAGGATGCACGTGCTGGGTGAGAAGGAGAGGAAAATTAGAAAGCAATCATAAAAAGATGGAAAAGTCTCTACTGGTCCTTGGCTAGCTTTGGCTAAAAGACCTTCCTTTCCCTCTTATCCTGTATTCTAACCTTAAAGTTTTGCAGGCCATGAAACCAGTGACATTTTTGTTTCTTAGTCTGTTGAGCTGGTCTAACTTTGAAATCTCTCTGCTTTAATTTCAGATATTCTGCATAGTATAATTCTGGGCTGAAATGTAGCAGAGACAGAGAAAGCCTTTATGGAAGAAATACCATTTTCAGTAGGTAGTATTCCTAGCAATAGCATAAGTAGTGTTGACAAGATAGCCTCTAGTATAATATTGTAATAAGATTACCCCAATCTGTACAGCAGTCATTATTAGAACATTTTATTCAATGGTAATTTAAGGAAGGGAAAGAAAAGCCTTCTCTTCTAAAATTTAGGTAATTTTAGCAGGGGGCAAGAAGTGTATTGAAGATAACTTTTGAACAAAACTCTTAAATAATGACTTCCCCACCCACACACCTGTCCTTCTCAAACAGCTTCATTCCCCTGTGGAAAACAGCTTCCTTGGCAAGTGTCCCGTGGCTGCTGATGAGACCAACTGTATGTATTTGTGTCCTGCAGAGAAGCTAGTCCATGTCATATGTCCCTGATTGATGAGGATTTGCTCTACTCATGCTTTGAGCCCATGGGAAGCTGAGAAGTGCAAGTTCCAAGGAATGGAGTCAGTTGGGTTGGGCCCGATGCCGTGTTTTTACAGGGGGCAGAGTGAATCCGTGTTGGAGCATGCTGGAGAGGCCTACGTGGATCTGGGGACCTAAATTACTTCAAAGCAGGGTTTGAACTGACACCCAAATGCCACTTTGGGCTTGGGCACACAGCGTGGGAGCTGCTGTTCCCCATGGTGGCACCTAAATAAGGCATGTGGGGAAAGTTCTTTTTACACACAACTTCTGGAAGATTCAACTGAGAGGGAGAGTTGATGGGCTTCTTCCCTCATGTTTGTTGTTGGTGCAAACGTGGGGTTACACTTCGCTGTGTAACAAATGATGCTTCCAACAGATCTTCCAATTTAGCCATGAGCATGAATGGAGACCTATAAATCAAACCTGTCTTCAGCAGTAAAGTTGTCCCTGATTAAATAGCAGTGGTGGAGGTAGCAGTAGCAGTAAGCAAGCTCCACAGGTGGTAGCTGGCACAACTAAAATGCATCACCTGTGGTACAGTTCAACACTGTGATCTCTTCTGTGCAGTTGCTTGTGTGTTTTGTGGTTAGCAACATCATTGTTTTGCCTTGGAACTATAGTGCAGCTCTGTTCCTCTATAAAGAGGCAGAGTTTTAATTCATGTTCCTTGTGCTACACAGTGTGATCTGTGCTGTCATAATCAAGATAATGTTAATTTGGGGGAGGTGGCCGTGGCTGTCTGCTGCAAGAAGGATCATCAAGCCTGCAACAGCAAGGCCTATTAGTAGGGCTAATGAGAGCCTGGAAATGCAAAGTAAGATGGTCCTCCTTGCATTTGAGTTGATTAAGAATGCAATGCTCCAATTAAACTATTTTAATACAGAATTAGAAGAGGAAGACACAGAATAAGCAGTGCAGTCTAAGAGCTTGCATCGAATCCCAGCGATTAAGTTTAACAATGAAGAACATTTCACAAAAATTCTGAAAAGAAGCTAACAGCTCTGAAAATGGCTTGGCTTCTTATTTTAAGGAATGTGCTTATATATCAGACATGGAAACTCTTCTTTGGATTTTGTCTTTAAAAATGTTATTATAGACTTCTTTTAACAAGCCCTGTCACTTGACAAGACTTATTTCACTGTATAGCCCTCTTCAGAAGGGGTTCATTTTGTTTTAAGCAAAACCTTTGTTTTAAAAAGTGAAATACTTATGCAGGGGGGATTGGGGTAGCTGAGGTCAGTGTTTTCTCCTGCTTTTCTCCCATCAAAATCAGAGTTTGAACTGCAAATCAATGGTTTAGGATTCACACGGAGGTCGCCCTTTTCCTCAGCGGAAAGGGAAGAAACTGCTTCATCTCTTCCTCCCCTGCTGTGGTGCTGTGCCAAGATTCTGCTGCTTAAATAAGACTGAGATTTTGCAGGCATCCTTTTAAATGTATTGGACTTGTTTGCAGCGATAGGTATGAACTTGAGAGTTGCTCTGCCCACCTGCTGATGTTTTCTGTAAATCTGAGCTTTGGGAGATCCATTAGTCCCTGCACGTGGCACATCTCCTTCCAAAAAGAACATGTCAATGAGCAGGAATTAGTCATGACTCTGGTAGAGTATAGTTAGACGTAGACAGGAAGGTGATAGGGCATGCTAAAGCTGCCAAATGTACATTTAAAATGTATCTTGTTCTAGTTGCCAGAATTCAGTGATTCTGACACCAGGTCAGAATTATGGTGGTTCTGAAATAAATGCTGTCTTATGTTGCCTGGGAACCCCAAGGTGAGGGGCAGGCCCCTCTGCGTACAGGTCCCCGGAGCTCATGGGGATCGATCAAGTCTCGCAGTCCTGTGTCTTGATCCGCTTAGCATTTAGCTGTTGGCTTTGATTTAGTTGGAGCAGATTCATGTGTTAAGCTGAAATATTGAGATACGAGGACCACTAAAAAAACAGAATATAAGGTATAGATCTTGCATGGGATTTCGTATATATATAGTAATACATACAGTGATTTTGTGTAAACCTAAGGGTCTCTATGAAGAATTCTGTAGGATTAGATCAGAGAATATTGTTTTGAGAACATATCAGATCCAAGAGCGTTTACTTGGGTTATGTAGTCTTTAATCCCACAGTGTAATCTTTCCAGAGTAGCCATGTTTTATTTGAGGTGGTTATGATGGATTTTTTCCCTCCCTCAAATACGAGGAAGGTTTTCTACACCCATTTGCAGCTGCCATGAGTGTACAAGAACACTTATTTCATTATGTGATAGATTTGCTGCTATTGTTTGACTAATTCCAAGAAGACTATGTATGGTAAAGTCTTACAAACAAATGCTGGAGGGCTGATGTCACATCAACAGTTAGACATTTAGAAAGTGCCTGGGTGTTTATCTAAATCTACTCTTAAAAGATTAAATTAAAAAGGTCATTTGAGTCAAGTTGGTGTATAGCTGAATATAATTGTTCACACAATATTATGGAAAATAGGAAATATAATTGATGTGGAGACTCATGTTTAAATGTAGACTGTCTTCAGGCGTGTTGTATCTCCTTGTTACACTGCAAAGAATGAGGCCGCTAAGGAGACTTTCAGTTGGAGGCTCTGCAGGCTGGAAGTCTGCTCTTGCTGTTGCATTTAGCTTTCAGAAAGTCGTTCAGGAGGCAGTAGCTCGGAAGCAAAACCATCTTCAATGGAGGGGCCCTTCAAATGTCCCAAAGGCAGTGAAGGACACGGATTTCAAGGTGGATCCTGGTGAGAGATGCAGTAGGTGCAGCAGGAGACAACCTTACAGAAGATGATGGTGAAATCTATGTCTCTTGTCCCTTCAGTTGTGGATGCTGCAGCCATTTAACCCCAAAGCACCCTGTACATGGGCACAACATGGGAGAAGTTTTATTCGTGCAGATTTTTGACTTTGTAAGCAAGACTTGGGATTAAAGTGATAGTTACCTAGTTCAGGATGGCACTGCTTGGCTTACAGCTCCTGGGGTGAGTCAGAGACCTAGTCATGTGAGTTGGATATGAGAAAGCAGGGAATCCCTTGGTATTCCAAGGGAATTGCAAGGGCTTGGCTTGGGAAATCTGCATGAGCAGCTGTGCAAGGAGCCCCTCTGTCAATCCTCTGCTGCGAAGTCTATCTGCCCTTTGAGAATTCAAGAACACAAGTGTGTTGAATATTTTGCCCTTTAGGTAAATCCAGTTGCAGAGATGCAAAATATGAGAACTAATGACAGAGCGGATGCTCACGTGCAGTGTGAGCAAGCTTCAGCAGATAGGGCTTTTACATGGGAGTTTAAAAAATGAGGGGAGTTCAAGTGACTCCTGAAACGGGTCTTGGTTTAGGCATTCAAGCATCTTTCTACAGAACTGGGCCTCAGTTTTTCTTCAGTAGGCGTTGGACAACGCTTATTTCTTCACATCTGTTTTTTTCCAAGGTAATTTTGTTGAATAGGACTGGAGACTGTGCAGCCTTGAGATGTTACGGAGAGGTTGTCACTTCCCATGGTTCTCCTTGTGT